TCCGAGCAGCCGACGCCATCACCAAAGGGCTGGAGAAGGAGAAATTCTAGCTCCTGAAGGAGAAGGACGACATGCTCCAGGCCCTCGAGGCGAGGGACACGGTGGCAGGGCATCTTGCTGCCAAGCACAAGGAGGTGAAGGAATGCCTCACCAACGGAACTCTTTTGGAAGAAGCCTTCAGGCAGCACCCAGACTTCGATGGGTTCACCAAGGACTTCAGTGACGCGGGCTTCAAGTTCTTGATGAAGGGCATTGCTGCCGACATGCCTGATCTTCAGATCGATCTCAGCAATCTCAAGAGGAAGTACGCTGAAAAGTGGGCCTCTGGACCTAACAATACTCCAGGCCCCCAGTCGCTGGTGGAGAAGTATGTTAGGGAGCTGGACTCTGACTACTCCAACATGGAAGGTGAAGATGCTCCGAGTCAGGAGCTAGCTGATGTCGGCACCACGCAAGAAGAAGTCCCCTCACAGCAGGGCGGATCTCGGGAGATGAACCTTCTGGGCTCCCAAGGTGAGTTGTCATCTCACCTCGGGAGTAGCTGAGGCTTCTTGCTTATTTTGTGTATATTGTTTTTTTTTTTTGTAAGTTTCAGGGCAGAGCTGCAAGGTCTATAAGCCTTGGCTCTGTCCTTCAATTAATGAATTCTCATTCCTCAAGTTGATTGTAATTATGTGTATCTAGCTCTGTCTCTTACTTTCATTATTTTTTCCTTAAGCTTTGAACTCGCTTTTGTAACTCTGAACTATCATATGAATAATTTCATCTCGCACCTCCAACTCGTAAGTCTTAAAGGATTGAGTGTGGGATAAACTCTTTTCACATTGCACCTTTTACTTAAGGTTTGAATTTGAGAGTTTCTTTTATTGGTCTTTAATATTTCTCCTCGAACTCGGAAGTCTAAAAATCCATATTAAACAATTTGAACTTTCTACATCGCACCTTTAACTTAAAAGTTCAAAGGGTTGAATTTTGAGTCCCTAATTAATATTCACATCGCACCTCGAACCCGTGGGTTTCGAGTGTTTGAATTTGATCAATTTTTGCATTTGTAAACCGTAAGTCTTATGGGAGTCTGTGGCCCCCATTTAATTTCTGATTGAACTCGGAGTCACGAAATTAAATAACTTGTTTATTAGCAATTAAGTTCCTCCCCTTGAAAATTTTTACAAGTCCGTTCTAGGACGATTTTGACATTTCAAGGGTAATAGCGCTTTAGGTGCTCTGCATTCCATAGATGCGCAAGCACATTTCCTTCCATATCGGCCAGCATGTACGTTCCAGGTCGGACTATGCCTTTAACCTCGAACGGTCCTTCCCAACTCGGGTCAAAAGTGCTCACATGACTCTAAATCTTTCTTAAGACTAAATGTCCAACTTGAAAGCTTCGAGGTCGAACTCGGGCGTTGTAATGTCTGGCCATTCTGTTCTGATATTCTGCTAAGCGCAGCTGAGCCATTTCCCTTTTTCCTTCCAATAAGTCAAGGTTAAGGAGTAGCTCTTCTTTGTTCTCCGTTGGCTCGTACTGCTTTACCCTGTCTGTTGGTATGCCGATCTCAACTGGTACAACAGCTTCGGAGCCAAAGGCTAGCGAGAACGGAGTTTCGCCCGTTGACTCTCTCGGGGTGGTCCGATATGACCATAACACTTTGGGTAGCTCCTCGGCCCATCTTCCCTTTCTGGAGTCCAATCTCAGCTTAAGTCCTCATTTTATAATTTTTTTTTATTGCTTCGACCTGCCCATTGGCCTTCGGATGAGCAGGGGACGAACTGAGATGACTTATTCCCAGGTTACTGCAAAAGTTGTTGAACTTTGCATTGTCAAATTGCCTTCCGTTGTCTGTCACAATGGCGTTTGGTATACCGAAACGGCATACAATGTTTGCCCATATAAAAGATGTGACTCTGGATTCCGTGATGTGGGATAGCACCTTGGCCTCGGCCCACTTGATGAAGCAGTCCACAGCGACAACGGTGAACTTGGTTTGCCCTTTGCCTAGGGGAAAAGAACCTATGATATCTACTCCCCATTGCGCAAATGGTCATGGGGCCGAGATGGGGGTGAGAAGCTCGGGAGGCTGATGGATGATATTTGCGAAGCGCTGGCAATTGTCGCAGGTTTTTACAAACTGCTTTGCGTTCTGTTCAACAGTGGGCCAATAGTACCCTTGTCGAACCACCTTAGCCGACAACGACCT